TTTTGTGTGTTGACCTTGTAACCAGCTACTTGACTGAATTTGGTTATTAAGTCTAGAAGACTTTTGGTGGAGTTCTTTGGGTCTTCTATATAGCGTATCATGTCATTTGCAAATGATGACCATTGGAATTTTTCATTTCCTATCTTTATTCTTTTTATTTCTTTCTCTTGTCTAATTGCTTTGGCTAATGTTTTCAAGACTATATTGAACAATCATGTGCTCTGAAGTGTAGAAAAGCCAACACGCAGGCAGTGGTACAAATGTGTGAGTTTTCCTACTCTTTAGAATCTTTTAATAACACTTCTAAATAGGTTTCTTAAAAATAGGTAATGGGCAAGTATGTCCTTCCTTTCTCCTTCACCCAGTCTTGAATCGGCACACACATTTAGAAGGTATCCCAGGTCAGTATCTGTCCCTGAGTGGGTCAGACACTAAAACCAGAGAGTTCCTGATGTTTAAAACTTCTACATCTCCCAATTGACTTTTTAAAAAATAGCATTTGAATTTCTATTATATAAAGTAACTCTGGGTGCTTCCTTTAGTCAGCTCTTAAAGATATTCATTTGTTTTCTAAGAAAGACATATTCCTATTGTGTGGACATTCACAACTTCCAAGAACATCAGAAGTAGGAAAATGTGGGGCCAGGGAGAGGTATAGTGTTAAATTATCAGATTTATACATTGTGTAAATCACTAGAAATTAAGCTAGATTTTGTAGTGTTCTATGATAAGTATAACTTGTATATTTTTTTATAATCAATGCCCAGATGATCAATGGAGGCAGAATGGGTGTTTTAGCAGCCAAATAAGCACATCTGACTAAACAAAACCAGACTTAGGTTTTGAAATTAGATTGATACAGATGTTTTGTCGGAACCAGGAATGGTAGACTGGTGCATGCTATTCTGTAGAAATGAATCCTGTCTTGAAACTGGGTTTTGCTCCTTTTTCAGTCTAGCTGAAATCATCTTGGTACAGCCTGAGAATCTGTTATATCAGAATTGTCTGCAAAGTGGGGTAAGAACTGGCTCCTCAGCTTACCTGTGTCAGGTTTTAGGTCTTCTGTAGAATCAGTTGTTACGTACTTTCTTGCCAATATGGGAAATCCCAATCTTTCTTTTTTTAATTCCTTCTTTGGCAGTTTTAAATGATTATACCTCAGGTATTTCTGAATATCCTATCATCTAGTAGGAGAGGTAACCTTTGTGAGCTCAGAATGTAAAGTTCTCCTCAATTATGAAGACCCCAAATCTATGTGAATAGCCTTAGCCTCAGATCTTTGGGGAGAAGTTAATGATTATTGTTAAAGTCATTTCTTTTTCAAATTTTAGCTGTTGCCCTTGATTTGACATAAACAATCAGGGTTTGGCAAGGGAGGAAGTAAGTTAGAGGCAGCTTACAACGAGAACATAAATATCTATAAAATGTCTATAAAAGACGTACTTTATACAGTATGCAAATCTCAATTTTTTTCTGATTATTCTAGAACATGATTAATACTGGGTGGGCCTCACATCCCCTTCTGACTTCTGGAGCCACGGCCCTCAGTGTTCCCTGCCTATGGTTGTGTGGGGCGGTG